TATTGTGATTAATGGGCAATGAATTTTGTTGTATAAGTGTCTGAGTCCCCGTTTTTTATTCTTTTGGGTATATAGCTAAGAGTGGAATGCTGGGTCATCTGTGTGCAGCTTCTTGAGGAGTTGCCAGACTGTTTTCCACAGCAGCTCCATCATTTTATATTCCCGCCAGAAATGTACAAGAGTTCTAGTTTCTCCACATTCTTGCCAACACTTATTTTCCTTTCTTTTTTCTTTTTTAAAAATTGTAGCCATCTTAATAGATGTGAAGTGATATCTCATGGTTTTCATTTGCGTTTCTCTAAAGACTAATGATGTTGGGTATCTTTTCATGGTCTTACTGGCCATTTGTATATCTTCTTTGGAGAAATGTCTATTCAGTTTCTTTGCCCATGTTTTAATTGAGTTGTCTTTTTCTTCTTGAGTTGCAGGAATTGTATATATACTAAATAGTTAACCCTATCAGATATATAAGTTACAAATCTTTTCTTCCATTCTGTAGGTTGTTTTTTCACTTTCGTAATAATTTCTTTGAACAAATGTTTTAAATTTTGATGAAATCCAACTTATCAGTTTTATTTTTTGGTTACTTGTGCTGTTAATGTTTTATATGTAAGAATCCATTGCTAAATCCAAGTTAAAGAAGATTTACCCCATGCTTTCTTCTAAGAGTTTTATGGTTTTAGCTCTTATATTGTTGTGGTCTTTAATCCATTTTCAGTCAGTTTTTGCATACGATGTGAGGTGAGGAGTTCAACTTCATTTGTGTACATGTGGAAATCCTGTTGTCCCAGCACCATCTGTTGAAGAGACTGTTCCTTCCCCACTGAATAGACTTGACGCTCTTGTCAAAAAGCAATTGGCTATATATGTATGGATGTATTTCTGGACTCTAAATTCTATTCCATTGGTCTATATGACTATCCTTATGACACTGTCACCCTGTTTTGATTACTATAGCTTTGTGGTAAGTTTTGAAATCAGGAAATGTGAGTCTTCCACCTTTATTCTTTTTCAAGATTGTTTTGGCTGTTCAGGGCCCCTTACATTTTTGTATGAATTTAAGGATTGGCTTTTCCACTTCTGAAAAAGCCAGGTTACTCTTTACAGTCAGCTACTAAAATGTTATAACTTGAAATGTCTCTACATATCTGTGGTCAAAATTTAAGTTTCTGGTCATCTAAGAATTTTCTGCTGAGGACCTCCCTGGTGGTGCAATGGTTAAGAATCCACCTGCCAATGCAGGGGATACGGGTTCGATCCCTAGTCCAGGAAGATCCCACATGCTGTGGAGCAACTAAGCCCATGTGCCACAACTGCTGAGCCCACATGCCACAACTACTAAGCCCGTGCACCTGGAGTCCATGCTCTGCAACAAGAGAAGCCACTGCAATGAGAAGCCCACATACCACCACAGAGTAGCCCCCAGCTCACCTCAACTAGAGAAAGACTACGCACAGCAACAAAGAACCAACACAGCCAAAAATAATAAATAAATAATCAATAAACAAACAAACATGGAGAGGATGTTGGCCCCAGGGTGGGAGCTGCTGGCAGGAGAACCTGGCTGAGGCGGGACCTGCTGGAAGTCACCGTGTCCAGGCAGGTCCACGGCCTGTTTTGTTTTTTTTCTTTTTTAAAGAATTTTCTGCTCATTGTCTCCTGAGAGTCTATGTAGAAAAGAGGTCACAAGAACTATATTTTGGAATAATTTTCTAAGTTTGTTCACAAGCAACTTGTCTTATTATCAGTTTAGGGTCAGTTTCATTGAAGTAAGGCTAAAATGGGTGTGAGACAGACTGCTGCCAGTGTGGTTATTAAGTATTTTGTTTATATGAAATATTTATTACAATATAAGGTGTTTGGATGCAAAGCTAGATTAAGTAAAGGAAAAATTATATCATCAGGAGTTCTGATCAGAATGGCAAGCTGAAGCAACATAGAAAGTCCTCCTTTCTGCTCCAAAAACAGAGAGATACTGGAGAAAAATAGAGTAACAACAAAAATAAAAATAACCCAGCTGAAAAAGGGAAATCCCCAGGTGTTGGAAAGGAAAAGGAGCTCAAAGCCAGAGCAGGGAATGATAGCTGAAAACAGTGAGGTCCACGGGCCTACTGGGTAGACATTTATGGGATATGGAGTGAAGCTTTAGACCCCTGTGGAATGGCAGCATGGCCAGAGTGGAGGCTCTTGTTTAGAGCCAGATTGCTCAAAAAAACAGTGAAGCAGGAATTAGAAAAATTCCATTTACTGTCTAGGGAAAGTGATGAGAAAGTTTACTGTGTTTAAGTTCCTATAAAATAATAATTAGAAGAAAAAGAATAATCAAGAATTGGTAACCTGAACTTATACCTTGTGTAGGTATGAGGAGTGAATTTATACTGCCCCCAGTGAGGCAGGAACTCTCTGTCGAAGCTAAGAAATTAACATAAAAAATTGGTCAGGTAGCAAAGTAAATTAAAAAAGTAAGTCCAGCTACATGTCATTATTAGTGAAACTACTTAGAAAACTAAAAACTGCATAGAAAATTTTAAAGTAAAGGGATGGGGAAAAAAGAGCAGATAGATATTAGGTTGAATATTGTTGATAATCAGCTGTTTTACTCACAAAAGTTGCAACTTCATGTGATTCAACTAATAATAATGGAGAAATTGACAAATCTATAGTGAAAAAGGTACTTAAAAAAGGTACTATCAGAGGTTATTACACAAAAATGTAAGATGGAGATTTGAACAACAAAATAGACGTCCACAAATAGTGATGTATATTCTTTTAAAATACATATCAAGTTTTTCCCTAAATTTACTACATGATAGGCCATAAAAGAAATCTCAGCAAATACTAAAAAACTGATGTCATACAGACTCCACTCTCTGATAACAGTGTAATAAATTTAGAAATCAACAAAAGCATAGTCTGAAAGCTCCATATGTTTGGAAACTGAAAAGAACACTTCTGAATGATTCATTTGAAAGAAATCACCATAGAGAAAACTTGGTTCCAGCAGTATGGCAGACTGGACCCTTCTGTAAACAACTAAGAAACTTGTATAAAATATGCAATACATATTAGATAGATTAGTGTGCTAGAAGAAAATAAAGAATTAAAGAATACTTAGAGGGCAGCAGCCAAAGGAAAGCAGAACCTCTAGGAGGTAAGTCTTGAGGGTATTTGCTGAACCCAAGGTTCTTGAACTTCTATTGTCATGTATTGGCAGGGTGCAGGGAATAAAGGCAAGGTTCAGGGCCCCACCCAAGATTGGTACCCTGCTAGGAGATGCTCTTGTATAAACCTAGGTCTTCCAAAAGGCTTCACCCTTAATTAAGAGAACTAGAAATAAATCCTAGTACAGAGTTGTAGTGAATCATTAGTGGGTTGTGAAATCAATTATGTGGTTTCTATCAGCATTGATTTTTTTTGAATATCACATGTCATAATGCTTCATGTAATTTTGTTTTAATTTTTGTGGGTTAGTGTGTGTATATGTATATGAACATATATATGAATATACTTGGTTGCATTGTTACTTTTTACCATTGGTCAGCCCTAGTCAAAAGAATTCAAAAGCTACTGCCTTAGAGAAGCTGTGCCATGTGTGCACAAAGAGACGTGTATAGCTATGCATTTCAGCATTATTTATAATAGCAAAATACTAGAAGCAACCTAAGATCCTATCAGTAGTAGAAAGGATAAATATATTTTTATGTAATGGGACATTATTCATCAGATAAAAGGAGATAATTATATCTACTTATGTTAACATAGGTAAATCACATAATTATATCTACTTACGTTAACATAGATAAATCACAAAACATAATACTGAATGACAAAAACAAGTTACAGAGTGATAGGAGGGTATAATTGAGGTTATGTTAAAAAATAATAAAAATACAATATGCTATTTTGAAAAGATAAGACACCAACTTCAGTATAACAACTTCTGAAGAGAGAATGGAATGGGATTGGCAGGGTTCCAAGGGATGGTGCAAGCTCTCCAACTTTGTGTATGTGTATGTGCACACACACATGCAGTTTTTCACTTTAAAAAAAATTAAGTGAATAAAACAAAATGTTAACATGTGGGTGATAAGCACTTAGGTATTATTAGTGATTTTATCTCCTGTACTTTTTTGGTGTTTGTATTCAATAATATTTGATTTTTTAATTGCATCATGCAATAAGTAGATAACTGTTGTAGTTTTTTTAATTAATTATTTTTGGCTGCATAGGGTCTTCGTTGCTGTGCGCGGGCTTTCTCTAGTTGCAGTGAGCGGGGGCTACTGTTCATTGCTGTGGGCGGGGATGTCATTGCAGTGGCTTCTCTTGTTGCAGAGCACAGGCTCTAAGCACACGGGCTTCAGTAGTTGTGGCTCGTGGGCTCTAGAGTGCAGGCTCAGTAGTTGTGGCACGCGGGCTTAGTTGCTCCGTGGCATGTGGGATCTTCCCGGACCAGGACTCAAACCTGTGTCCTGTGCATTGGCAGGCGGATTCTTAACCACTGCGCCACCAGGGAAGCCCTGTTGTAGTTTTCTTATAAGGAGAATCTTTAAGGACTGAATGATGTCAGAATTAGAATCTTAGGTGTTCTTTTGAAGAACATGTTCAAATATGTTATTATGGCCCCTTTAATTAGGTGACAGCTGTGTAATTGCATGAGTATAGTAGTCAAGCTGAGAAGCCAAAAGGTATATGGGAAAGGAATAAAACATAAAATCCAACGTTGAAAATATTTTCTTTAGTACATAGTAAGTACATTAATTCAATATCCTGAAATCCATAAGAAGTAACCAAAAAGCATGCTTATTGAATTAGAAGCCCTGTTAAAGAAAAGGTTTTCTGAATGTTTCATTCAGGTAAAGCAAACTACCACCCACTGAATAAAAGTTAAAACTAAACATTATATTACTAAAATTGTAACTTGTTGCTTAGTGAACAAACACAGCAAAAATATAATGTATCTATAGTTTTGTCATTCATATTTTTTTGTTTGTTTTACTTAGCTGGTCACCTGACTTTTGAATGCCGCAATTTTCTCCGAGTAGACCCCAAAAGGGACATAGTTTTGGATGTCAGCAGCACAAGTAGTGAAGAGAGTGATGAAGAGAATGAAGAACTGAATAAACTGCAAGCGTTACAAGAAAAAAGTAAGCAATACTTTTTTCCCCCCCTCCATCCTTTAAAAATGTTTCTAAATGTTCTACTGTATTATGTCATGTTTTTCTGTTGTTCTATTATATTTGCCATTAAGGTATCTTTTGCCTCTTATGTAAGAAGTACTGCATAGGTAAGGAAATAGGCTCTGAACATTGTAAGTACTTTGCCCAAAGTCAAACAGTTGGTCATTGATAGAACCAACAGGCAAGTCTATTTCTGATTCCACAACACAGGTTTTATTGTGTTTTGTTTTGTTTTTTGTTTTTCCATCTCACTGGAATGTATCACATGGTACAAAGAGTCTGATTTAAGACTTGGTTTCTATTCCTATTTGGCTACTTTTTAGTATGTGACTTTTAGCAAATCACTTAACTGCTGAACTTCAGTTTCCTTGTGGGATAACACAAAGGATTGGATTGTCAAATCACACTCTTTCATATCAGAGATCTTAGCAGTGTCAAGCTTTACTGATACCATTGGCCCTTGAACAACATGAGTTTGAACTGCATGGGTCCACTTTTATGCAGATTTTTTTCGGTAATACATACTGCAGTACTATATAAGCTGTGGTTGGTGGAATCCACAGATGTGGAACCATGGATATGGAGAAACCACATATATGGAGGGCAACTATAAGTTATACTTGGACTTTGGACAGCACAAAGGGGCAACATCCCTAACCCCTGCGTTGTTCAAGAGTCAACTGTAATTTCAAGTATACAAGTGATCACGAGGCATAGGCAAAGCAGCAAGAGTTTCAGAACTACAGTACAATCTCCCAGGTACCCACTCTGGCCAAGGTTAACATAAACGGTTTCTATATTACTTACATGAAAGAAAGTCATTTTGGTCAAGAAGCATCTCAATTTTATGCCCATAGTTACATTTTCCAGGGATTATGGATTTGTGCCCCATAAATCCCTAGATTTCAGGATTATTTGCCATAAGCAATCTTAGACATCCTGCTATAAGCAGTTTGTAAATAGGGATTCTCTTGCCAACAGCTTGATCATGGACTTCTAGCTTTCAGAACAGTGAGGAAATATATTTGTTATTTAAGCTGCACCCCTCCTCCCCCCACAAAAAAGGATTCTCTGGCTAGCAAATTATTTATTTCCAGGAAGTCTGTCATTAGCATGTTGATGAAGAGATTTGACCAAGTTACCTTCTTTCTTTCCTGGGACATTCTCCTTTCCCCTCAAAAAGAGAACAGATTTCAGACCACTGTTTAACCATTTGTTTCCCATCTTGTGTATAAAATAACCTATCCTTGCAATGGGTTTTTTAGGGATAAAATGTGATGCTGTATGTGAAAATATTTTGTAAACTACAAAACGTTATATGGTAGTTGTCACACAGAAGCAAAATGAAACTTATTTGTGTATGGGTTTAGGCATGGCATGAGAGAGATACAAAAAAGGTTAAACTTATTCTAGATCATAAGATAACAATAAATGCTTAAAAAAATTTTAACCTTTCTATATTATATCCAGTGAAGGTAAGTGAAAGAGTCAAATGCCAGGGTACTAGGACAAGCTGAGAAGGCAGAAGAGGGTTAGTGTTCCAAAGAAAGCAAACAAGAGTAACAGTAAATATGAGTATATACAACTTAAGGGTAAAGATAGCTGCTTGAATATAAATATTTACTTTTGGGACTTCCCTGGCAGTCCAGTGGTTAAGAATCTGTGCTTCCAGTACATGGGGCATGGGTTCAATCCCTGGTTGGGGAACTAAGATCCCACATGCTGCAGGATCTTTATACATAAATAAAGATATATATTTACTTCTGCTCCCTACTGAAACAACACTAAAATTGTAGTAGAAGAAATTTTTAAGGACATAAACTCACAAAGACAAAGAAAATAAGAGTCAAAAACTTTTGCTGAAAAGCAGATGGGTTAGTGATAATGGACTGAACACTTTAAGAGAGCTCAACCCTTTAACAATGTGGAAAGCTGAGAAGTAACCTGATTATACACTGTAAAAACCTCTAAAGTCTTGATAATGAGTAGTATCCTTGGGTATTTCTGGAAGTGAGAATATTTGTAAGACTAAAAACAGGGATTGGTTAAAAGCCTGAAGTAGTTAGATGTTCTGTTCCCTTTCCCTACTCTGTGAAGCCCTGTTGTCTCAGCAGACTGCCACAGGTCTATTTTCTAGACAGGTAAGGCAAACGGTCTTTAAACTGGGACACACCAAACACAAATGAAAATAGTTAAATTAAAGGTTAGATACAGAATGGTGAGAGCCTTCTAGCCATCTTCACCTATTTGGTTCCCAGACATGTATCACCCAGGCAGAAGATTTGAAGATACATCTCTGGGAAATCTGACCAGTCTAAAAAGAATGAAATAAGGATACTGACATTAGGGATTCTTCAAAGACAAGCCCTCACCAGATTATCAGTGAAGTCCAGATTTCCAAGCTTTGCTTGCTAAAAGCTTGGTATCAGCTTTTTAGACAATGAGGAGCACTAAATTTCTGAGGAAAGAGTCTCACATGAAATATAGATACCAAAACAGAAAAAATCAACTTGAAAAATACAAGTCTAATATGAGTCTGTATAGGGAGAAAACAGAAATCATTAATATTTAGTTTCATAGAAAGATAAGATACACCATGCATGAAACATGAATAAGATACTATAAAGAAGAACAAAAGCCACAAAAGAGCTTTTGAAAATTAAAATAGAAGCAGACATGGAAAACTTGATAGAGTTGGAAGATAAAGTTGAAGAAAAATAAGAAGAGCAAAAAGAGAGAAAAAAGATAGAACAATTGAAGGGTCATTCTAGGAAATACTTCATTCAAATGAGTCCCAGAAAAAGAAAACAGAAAATTTTTTCAAGAACTGAGGAATTAGTTTCCAGATGAAAAGGTTCAACAAGTACCAGGCACAGTGGTAAAAGCAGACCCACACAAAGGCACACCATTATGAAACATCATATCATAGGAAACAAAAAGATATAATCCAGACTTCCAGAGTGGAGAATAAAACAGGACACAGGTGAAGGATCAGGAGTCAGAATAGTTTCTTACTTCTCTAAGGCAATACTGGAAGCTAGTAGAATGTGGATAATGCTTCCAAATTTTGAAGAAAAATTATATCCAAATTAGAATGATATACCCAACCAGATTATCAACCAAGTGTGAAAGTAGAATAAAGACATTGTCAGACATTCAAAGTCTCAGAAAACAATTTGCCTCTCACTTACCTTTCTTAGAAAAGCCCTGGAATTAGTGTTCTACCAAAGTACGGAAATAGACTGAAAAAAGGAAGACAAGGAGTGTAGGAAATAGAAAAGATAAGGGAAATTTGTAGCATGCTAGTAAAGAGAGAGCCCAGAAAGACAGCTGTGCCAAAAGAGAGAGCAGCCCAGCCACATAGGAACACAACAAAAGATACTAGGACAGAAAGCCTAAAACCCTTAATTCCACAAGGACACTTTCTACGCCATTCATCTATACTGCTCTGTTTTTTTTTAAATAGATGCATAAAACTTTAGAATTAGGAAGAATCTTTAGAACAAATAGTTTAAAAACCAGTTTTGTAGAAAAAGAAAATGAGAACAAGTGACTTTCCAAAGTCACTAGCTGGTCACAGTAGAGCCAGCACCATGATCCAGATTTCTTTCCTACTAGTCCTGTACCATTTTCATTACAATGTGCTGCTCTCCTACCTTAGAGATCATCCAGTCTATTGGTTCTTGACCTTTTTTTCCTTATTACATCAATCTTGAAGGATAAAGTACACTCCCACCATGAATAGTGGTTTATTCTAGGGGCGATTTTCAATCAGAAGACCTGGGACAGATCCGCTCTGGGAGAAAGGGGAGGGAGTTAACATATAATAACCCCCAGGACAGGGAATAGTTGGTGAAGCTTCCTTATTAGCATCAGCTTTCCCCTAACCTCACATTGAGAATGGCTTCCTCAATCTAGCTCTTCTCCCTTTTTCTTCCTTAAAAGGTATGCTTGACCATAGTCACCTAAAGGCTCAGAATTTGTGTTCCATCTCATGACTTCCACCCAGGACAGTGTTCATTCCAGTATGTCAACCAACTTGTCCTATTTAACATTTATAGAACACCTCACTCAACAACAGCAGAATACACAGTTTTGTTTTTTTTTTCTCAGTGCACACAGAACATCTACCAAGATAGACCTTATTCTGTGCTATAAAACAAGTCTCAATAAATTTGAGTGTTCAAGTCATGCAAAGTATCTTCTCTAGCCACAAGGAAATTAAATTAGAAATTGATAACAGGTAGCTTCTTGGAAAATTCCCAAGTAATTGTAGCCTAACACACTTCTAAATGTCCCATTGGGTCAAAGAAAAAAAGAGCCAAAGGAAATTAGAAAGTACTTTTCAACTGTATGAAAATAAAAATACAACATAACATTTATGAGATGTCCCTAAAGCAGCACTTAGAGGCAAATTTATGGCACTCCATGCCTGTATTAGAAGAGAAGAAATATCTCAAATTTATGACTTCAACTTCTACCTTAAACTCGAAAAAGAAGAGCAAATGAAACCTGAAGTAAGCAGAAGAAAGGGCATAATAAAGATCAGAGGTGAAATCAGTGAAATGGAAAATAGAGAAACAATAGAGAAAAATGAGTGAAACCAAGAGCTGGTTCTCTGAGAAGATCTATAAAAGTGAAAATTCACTATCCAAACTGATTGGGTTAAAAAAAAAAGTCATAAATTACCAGTATCAGAAATGAATGAAGTAACAATGCTACAGATTACACAGATGCTAAAATAGAATATTATGAATAATCTTATGCCAATAAATTGGACAACTTAGATAAACTGGACAAATTACTTGAAAGATACAAACTACCAAAACTCTTTCAAGAAGAAATAGGTAAACTGAGTGGTCTGCATCTATTACAGAAATTAAATGTTGTAAAACTTTCAGCGAAGAAAATGCCATAGCTGAATGGCTTCTCATGAATTCTGCCAAACATTTAAAGGAGAAGTAATA